TGATTGCATGCCAGCTCTGGAAACCATTATAATTGCCACAAAACTTTTATACTGGAAAAAGTCAATAAAACGTGCCATCTGAGGTGACTCACATGGGCAAAATCACTTCATTTTAATGGCTCAGTTCACACTATGCTACTGATTTCTGCAAGCATTATTGGGGTAGAGATGTTACGGAAGAGATCAAAACAGAAAATGAGGCCAATGAGCTGTAAACAGTAATAGATGTGTAATGGAAGAATTAGAAGCCAGTCTATAGTAAAGTGCCATGGTGTGTTTTCAGACCATGGCTAAACTGTAGACATTATTAAACTTAGATTCGTATCAATTTTTGCTCAGTATCTTCTTTTTTCAGCACAAAGCTCAGAATTTTGTAATAGTATGAACTTAAAAAGGACATAGTACTGTGCACTGATGGACCTTGTGCCCATATATCCTGTAAGAAGAGAGTCAAAAGAGAACAAACTATCCAGAAGAATTTCTAGAGCAGTTACAAAATCAATTTTATGCAACTGCTGTTGCATGTGGTTTTTTTTGTTTAGATTAAGTGAAATACAATGCTTCACTAATTACTCCACTAATAGAAATATCTCTGTAGATGCCCAATATGGGGTAATATTTCAGGGTTTTTTTTTAAGCATGCACGAGAGTGCTTCAAAAATTCTTCAGTTAGCTGGTTAAAGCAATCAATTACACTGAGTTGCTAAGTAGGAAGAATTTATTTACTGAAAGAATAGTCAGGCACTGGAATGGGCTGCCCTGGGAAGTGGTGGAGTCACTCTCCCTGGAGGTATTAAAAAATGTGTAGATGTGGCATTTCAGGACATGCTCTAGTGGGCATGGTGGGTGTTGTGGTAGTATTTGTGGGTTTGATTTGGTTTGTTTTTTTTCTCCTGGGTGATGGTTTGACTCCGTGATCTTGGGAGGTCTTTTCCAACCCTAACAATTACGTGATAGCATAAGAGAACTTTGTATCTAATTACTATTGTAGTATTAGTTTCTGTTGCAGGTTTTTAAAATTTCTGGCTGGATTGGACTAATTGGCTCATGTGGCTAAATCGAAAGTCTTGACAGTGCTCAAGCTATAAAATTGCATTGTTGAATGCTGTACCTGAGTTCCTTACTTTATTTGAATGAAAAAAAGAAACAGAGGAATTGATTAATAATTTCACAAGCAGTGAGACAAAGTTGGAATGCTTAATTTAAGAAACTTTATTCTGGGGTTTTTGTGGGTTTTTAAGGGGATTTTTGGTGTTCGGTTTCATTTGTTTTTCATTTTGTTTTAATTTCTATTCATGCCTTAAATGTTACTGACTTATTTTTTTTCTTGTCAGAAATCAGTCTTAATGTTCGAGATCCTCCTACTAAAATAAGTATCATTCCAGAAGAAATGGTTAAGCCAGAGTGGGGATTACCTGAAGTTAAATACAGGTTTATTACAAGGTAAAATAGAATTTTGTAAATTCATTACATTACACTGAATGTTAAGTGGAAATGTTTTTGGAAAAGTTTCTGAGAAAGCTTTATGTTTTGTTATTATCAACCACATTTTTGTTCTGTTTTGGTTTTAGGTCTGAACTGGATGGCTTGCCAAACAATTATTCCTGTGATGTTATTGGTCTTGTGACATTTGTAGGAAGGGCTGAACGAGCAAGAAAGAGAGGTTTTTCTATAAATATTACTTTCAGAATTTTATCAAGCAATTTTTAACTTTCTGAATAAATGTTTACATGTTTTTCTTAATGTTTGTTTATATAGAATATGGTGAAGACTTCTGGCTCTATCGTTGGGCACATGCCATTGATGGGACCTCAAACCAGCCATTCATCCTGGAATTATTTGCAACTTCTCAGCCAGATGTATTTCAGCATATACACCCAAGTATTCCTTTCTTTATAATACTTATTAATTATTACTTATAGTATTTTTCTAGTTGGTTGCTTATTTCAAATTCTGAGTATAATTGCCACTGAATAAAAAATTGCATGGTTTATCTCCCCAGACAGAAAACAGCTGATTAGAAATTTAAAAAAAAAAATTAAAAAATTAAAATGTAAGTATTTGTAACCCTCATCACAATCTCCCAGTTAGTCTAAACAGATAGGTGGGCAGCTGGGCCTGGGGCTCATTAATTTCAAACAGAAGCACCTGGGGCAACATCTCTTGCATCAGAGGCAAATCAAGAAGGCAGCTGGTCAGATCTATTAGTCCTTGTGTCTTGTAAGTAATTTTTTACAGACACAAATAATTGAATAAAATTGAAAGAAGGGAGAGGTGAAACTGGAAAAGCTTCATTTCTTTGAATAAAAAATTTTTTGCCAAACAGCAGTCATCACCCAGCTGTCAGTTACTGCATGAGATCTAGGAATGAGGAATTTGAAACTGAGGAATCCTTCATTAAGGATTTTAAAAGAGCTTAAAGTATTTCATCTTCTCTTCTTTCTCTTCTCCAAGCACTCATCCTTACATTAACATTAACACTGGCTGGTGTCACGTGCATTTTTTTTTTTTTTTAACGTACGATTCAGGACCAGCTGCACAACCCTGTTAAGATTATGGCTGCCTTAATCTTGAGTGGTCTAGGGAAATGGGAAAGAATGCCATTCCAGTGTTTAACTGAGATATTAACAAAAGTGAGTTTATACTCTATTTAGAAGTTTTGCAGTGGCATGTCATGATTTTTTGGTTTTCCATGGTTTTGTGCTTTTGTTCCTTAAGAAACACAGCCATCTACTATCCCTATTGTTACAGCTTATTTCCTTGATGTCCTAGCTGGTGAAGTATCTAATGTTTTAATCCTAATATGTATGCTGAAATTTGCTTGCACAGTTATTAAATTTAAAATCTATTTACATCTACATAATCTAATCTATAACAGAGACTCAGTACATGCTGAAGCACTTGTAGGAACAAGAATGAAAATGTCTTGTTTAGAGCACTTAATAAAATTAATTCCTTGCGTGTTACTCTAGACATTCTAAAATCATTGAAAAATCAAGAAAAAACCTGCAGGTTTTTTTATTTCCGCAGTGACATATTTGGTGTGTACACAGATGAGAGTGGTACGGGACCTCTCTGAAAATCCTTCCAGTGCAGTTTACCTTACAACTTCAAATGAAAGTCAAATATTCATTACAGGTAACTTAAACTAGTTTTAGTTTTATGTAGTTCTCATCTTAAGTCTTTGTAAAGGGTGTTTTTGTTTTACAACAAAATAATCGGTGCATAGTGCTAGTTTCCCTGTCAGAAATTACTTTGAGTAACTAAGGAATACAACTGCAAAAAAAATGGAGGCAAATTGCAGTCTTGTGAGATTTTAATGGGTGTTATCTTATGAAAAGTACCTAAGTATTATTAGGCTAAGTCATATGTTTACGACGTCTTTCAGACTGTTTCAATGCTTTGATAGTGTTGCAGTGCAGAGTACCATTTCCTTAAAAACATCAGAAATTACTTGCAGACTTTTGGGCTTACAGATTTCCTTATTACAAGAGAAATGAAAAGCATATCGTTGTCCTAAATTTATCTTAGCTAATAATTTTCACCAACTACTTGGAGAACTGTTGTTTCATCTTTCCCAAAGTGCTGGGCTGCACTGGAGGAGCATTGCTGCTGACAGTCCTGTTTGAATACTCCTGTCTGTAGTTCTGCTGCTCCTGGTGGCCCTGTGGCACTGCACCCTGGATGCCACCAGGCAGCATGTGACAGGCAGGCTCAGGCACAGCTGTTGATAGGGTATTTGCCCTTCAATCAGGAGGCAGATGTAGCAGTGTTGCAGGCAGGTGATGTATTAGCCTAATTGCAAGGGAGTGTGAGCTGCAACAGGTTTATCTTTCCTCTGTTTATCCAGATCATTTCTCCCTAACATATCGGTCACTCAGTGTGATTCTTCCTG